AGAGAGAGAGAGAGAGAGAGAGAGTGAGTGAGTCAGTGAGAGTGAGAGAGTGCTTGGTGCACATTGGTGTACCTACAGGGTCCTCCTCTATGTTCTGTGCATGCTACATTCACTGGAACACTGTTTTCCTGTTCCTTTAGGATGTTTGATACCGGTTTTGCACTGGAGTTCTATTCCCAAGAAGCTCTCGGTATAGCTCTCTCTGAGCAGGAGTTGGATCGCTCAGAGCTGTTCATTTCCGTGAAAGTGAGTAGCACACTGTTTCACAATTCACTGTGGGTCGCAGCATGGCTGGAAAAATCCTTCCGCTTCCAAGCAGGACTTGAACCTTGTGCCTCTTGCTTCTCAATCATGGTCTCAGACCAACCCACTGTGCCTGTCTGCTGATAGGACAAGTATTATTTCTGAGAGGAAAATACCTCCCCATACACATGTATCGCCGATATGGCCTATGGCCTGATGTTATAAAGAGGCAGAGGCGACGGTTTCAAATAGGACACAGGTTGCAAACCGGAACGGATTCAATATTCACTTTCTCTCTTGGTATTTTGATTAGAAAACATATGTCACAGTGAGACTACGATGTGTTATACTCCGAGCCAAAATGTCATGGCTCTGCGATGACCAGAAGCGCCATACCAAGCAGGTGAGTTTGTGACGTGTTGCTTCGCACTGCGACTTGAGTTTTACGACTTTCGAAAAATCAACTTCTTGTCGCAGGTAAACAGCGGCTCACCTCTCGCCAATAAAGCACCGCATACCAATCAAAACTAATGGAAGCACACACAAGGCTTATTGTTACTCTGTACTGGCCGTCGTGGAGCGATAGCAATTACCTAATTTCAGACCCAGAGTGAATTTGACGTGCACTCTAAAACGTGTCCGGTTTAGAGCCACCTCTGATTTGAACTTTTTGAAGCGAAAAATTGGGCAACTTGGAGGCAATGGGTCAACACAAAGGAGTGGCTCAGTTCGATTGACTTGGTCCCAGAGCAAACTTCAACATGCCAGTTTCCATCCACAAACATATTTCGAGTGAAAATCAACGCTGATGATCGGTTTGGGTCTATACAAATTTGGCTGTCAAAGCGTTCCGGTATCGAGCCGTCTACCCTACTACCTTTGTCTCTCTCTCTCCCTCTCTTTCTCTCTGTGTCTATCTATCGTGTTCAGGCTGCCCGTTTTGGAGCCATTAGTTGCCTTGTGATCGTAGTAATATGTGAAACTCAGAGTGGTGACACAGCTTCCAATCTCTCTTGTGTATCTATCTATCTATCTCTCTATCTCTCGATCTCTCTCTCTCTCTCTCTCTCTCTCTCTCTCAAACACACACACACACGCATGCACGCACGTACACACACACGCACACACACACACACACACACACACACACACACACACATACACACACACATGTTTGCTTATCATACCCTGTGTTTTGGAACAGATCGACTCGCGTCACTACACACCGCTACGCTTTCGCCATGCCGTTATGGAATCTATGAGACTGCTGAACATTGACTACATTGATCTGCTCCTACTCAAGGACCCGTACTGCGGCAAAAACGTATGTTCGCTGTTCAATGTGCAATGACCTATGCTTCAAAAGATATGTCTCAGGCCAAAGAAACTTGGTAATTTGTGACGTGTGATTGACGAACTTTCTTTCTGTGGAGAAATTATTCACCGGCTCCTTCCACTATATCCGACTAAAGAATTCACTGGCATGCTTCATCAGCCTCAGTTTTTTTTCATTTGTGAAAGTTCACTTTTCACAAATTTACAGTTCGCATGAGACTCAGTCACATGAGACCCAGTCAGACCGAACATTCCGCATCAGTAGGAATGCCGCCGTCCTCAAGAATCAATGCGCAGCTGCGGTGCTAATGCAGATGCGATGCCAAAATGAAGGATGCCTGCTGCTGCTGCTGCTGCTGCATGCCGCTACCACTGGATCAGACATAATCTGATATTTCCTCACATGTATTTGGCATCCTTCGTACTAAAGCTAGATGCGATGCGAAAGAAATTGCACCTGCATACTTCAATAAGGCATACAGTAGTTATGTTGAGAACACACAACCAGCTTTTAAAAATAATAATTGCATGTGCCACCCTCACGTGGATCCTGATTTCCGATCCATTTTTCTTGCTCTATGTCCGAATCTTCTACAGTGTCGACTGGTGAAGAGAGAAGATCAAGGTAGCTGGCAGGACGCGTGGCGGGAGATGGAGGAGATGAAACGTCAGGGCGTTGCCCGTGATCTTGGTGTGGCAGCGTTCGGCCTGCACGAGGTCACGGAGATAATGGAGATGAGCAATGGCGTCGGCCTTTCCGTGGTGCAGGGTTTCTTTGACCCCTTCCATCAAGAGCGCGAGGTCAGTGTTTGAAGGAAAAAGTCGCCATCAACCAGATTGCTCTTTATTTGACTCTCCGTGTTACCATCCGGAGGATATGCCGAACCCAGATTTTTCTGCCACGAAATACAGACATCTACCCCCGCTCTTCTTTCTGAAGCCTGAGCCATAATGTTTGTGTCTGTTTCTGTTGGTGGGTGTTTGTGTGTGTGTGTGTGTGTGTGTGTGTGTGTGTGTGCGTGCGTGCGTATGTGTGTGTTTGTGTGTTCATGTCTGTGCATGCATGTGTATGTCTATGGGTGTGTGTATGCGTGCCAACATTCCCGTTTCCGTTCGCAGCTGCGTGCATTCTGTCAGCGGAATGGCATCATCTTCCAGGGCTTCTCCACCATGGGCAAGGCATGGCTGTACGCAGACGACACGCTATCTGATAACAACCCAGTACAATCTAATGAAGTCATCGCCAACGTGGCTCAACGGCACAGCAGTACATCACCGCAGGTATGCTGTATGCTGGGAACGAGTAGGAAGTTATAGTACGTAGGGCCGTGGTTGGGGGGAGGGGGGGGGGGGGCATGGGAGTCATGGGGGCATGCGGGACTCGAACGTGAAGTGATGTGAGGTTTCGCTCCCAAGGCTGTCTGCTCCAGTCGTCCCTGGCTCAGAGCTGACTGCTGACTGGTGCACCATTGCATGTGGCTGGGTAATCATCAGACAGCAGTGTGCATTCTATTGTTCTTCTGAGCGGGGCTATACCAGTAGCCAGTTTGCATTGTTCCTGCTTGTGTGTGTTTGTGTACATGTATGTCTGTCTGTCTGTGTGTCTGTATTTCAATTTTTGTATATGTGCATACGCTTCTGTGTGTCTGTCCATCTGTGTGTCTGTCTATCTGTGTCTGTGTGTCTGGGTCGGTATGTTTTTTTGTGTATGTGTGTATGTAGGTGAGAGAGAGAGAGAGAGAGAGAGAGAGAGAGAGAGAGAGAGAGAGAGAGAGAGAGAGAGAGAGAGAGAGAGAGAGAGAGAGAGAGAGAGAGAGAGAGAGAGAGAGAGAGAGAGAGAGAGAGAGAGAGAGAGAGAGAGAGAGAGAGAGAGAGAGAGAGAGAGAGAGAGAGAGAGAGAGAGAGAGAGAGAGAGAGAGAGAGAGAGAGAGAGAGAGAGAGATAGAGAGAGAGAGAGAGTGAGTGAGACAGAGTGAGACAGAGAGAGACAGAGAGAGAGAGAGAGAGAGAGAGAGAGAGAGAGAGAGAGAGAGAGAGAGAGAGAGAGAGAGAGAGAGAGAGAGAGAGAGAGAGAGAGAGAGAGAGAGAGAGAGAGAGAGAGAGAGAGAGCTATGAGTAACAGTGCTCTGTTTCATTCGTGCTCTGTTTGCTATACCTGTGCTTTGTCCTCTTCCTCTCAGACGATTCTGGCCTGGGCACTGGACAGCAATGTATCCGTGATACCCGGCACAATGAATCTCGTCCATCTCAAGGAGAACCTCGCCGCCCTGGACCTGAGCTTGGATGACAGCGCCATGGACGCCATCAACGGTCTCGACGGCATCATGGAGACGAGATTCTACACGATGCTGGCCGACCATCAGTCGGAGGCCACGCGCGATCGCATTCGCGGCACTAAGGCGTCGCTAAAGCTGAAGAAGAAAACGCTGGCCGCCAGCAAGAAAGGCATGTTGGCGCAAAGCAGCGTGACACGTAAGCTAGAGCGTGGTGACCGTGCAGTGCTGGTGCCGGTCAGCTGCCCGGCGAAGGCCACACCACAGTACGGTCACCTGTTGGCACTCGACCCCACTACAGGGGAGGAGCGCTGGTCGGTTGAAGTTGGCGGGCCGATTTTCGCTGCGCCCACGGTCAGCGCGGACGGCTCGACCGTCTACCTAGCCACCGGCGACTGGCGTGTGTACAGTCTGTCCGCCATTGATGGCACGGTGCAGTGGGTGTTCGAAGGCAATCACAGCGTGGCGGCGCCCGTCCTGGAGGACACGCGTGGCCGTGTGTACGTGGCCGACATGTCGGGCACCGTGCACGTGCTGAGCGCTGATAGCGGTGCCGAGGTGGCCAGTCAGACGTACGGACAGGAGGGTATACTGCACATGGCGATGCATTCACCGCACAACATGCTCTACGTCAACACGCTGGAGATGTACGAGCAGAACTTCGTTGCCGTCAACTACGCCACGGGGAAGGTGGAGTACGAGACGGACTTGTTCGGCGCCGCCTCGCGAGCGCCGATCGTTAGCAACGATGGCAAGCTGGTGTTTTCCTCCGGTGCCGGTTTCGTGGACGAGTCATCACGCGTTGTCGCCATCAACATCGAGAAACGGAAGAAGATCTGGAGTCGTACGATCGGTATCCTGGATGAGCACGCTGCGACTCTGGCACTCAGCGCTGACAACAAGGTACTGTACGCGCTCCACCCGTCAGGCTTGTTCACCTGGTACAACGCCACCAAGGGTCGCACTATCGGCGAGGTGTACATCGGCGAGGGGGTTACCATGGCAACGCCCATACCGCTCAACTCCACCATGGTGCTGGTTGCCTCCGGCGACGGATGGCTCTATCTCGTCTGCACTCGGCGCGCGCGCTACTTCGAGTTTCTGAACTTGAAGCAGCCGATCATCGAAACGCCACTGCTCTTCGGACCCAAACTTTACGTAGTGAGTCGATTTGGACATCTGTGGAGGATTGACTTGAATTCCAGGAGCATCGATTGGCAGAAAACGTTTGACAAGAAGAAGTTCAATGCGCCTGTCACTGTTTACTAGCTGAGCTCTCTGCAGGTTTAGAGTGCAAAGTACATTGATCACGCTGTTCCCATTTTCGCAGTATTTAATGGCACGCGACAGTCGCAGTTTTCATTTTGACTACTTGCTCTGCCACCCCACTTGTCACCAACTTGAAGAATTTACTTGCAATCTTGTTGCCACCGCCGCCGCCACGGGCGCCCCTTGCAGGTGCTGGTCAAGAATGCTCGGGCCTTCGATTTGCTGTGTTTAAACCAATTGCTAAAGGTTTTAAACAAACCTCTGTGCGCGTACCCATATTATGTACAGTGATCTGCGAGTCCTGGCTACTTCAGTACTTGCCTTTGGCCACCATCTCCCTGCTTTAGATGCATTTCTCTCTGTGCAATAATGGCTATGCCTTCACATGCTGTCTTGATCTCTAGAGGCATTTAAAATACTATAGTCCCTGCTCGCTGCTCTCTGAATTCATCGTAACGGAGCAGAGGGCAGCACAGCTGGTAATGCGGCTACGAGTACTACTTTGGCTGCCATCGCCAGGTGTCTCCCCGCGATTTCCTGCTGACGTGTGCACCATGATAGTTATGGTGGGTATCTTGTAAAAAAATAAAAATGCACAATGTGGTTTGTTCTGGACCTGACCTGTCCACGCAGTCCTTGCACGGTCACTTCGGAGGTGCAGCGCAAGTGGCAGAAGTCCAACAAAAATGTTTAATTTTGTCCAGTGCCAGCGCCATGTGCCAAAGAGTAAACTTATCACTCAGCCGAGCAGCGCCTCAAAACTTTCAACAATACCCATCTGTCACTGTACTGAGGCTCTGTATTACCGGTATAAGCGAGGCGATCCCGCAAAGCATGCACTGGACTATCAAAAAAAGACCACATGGATGTACATGACTTTTTTGTACACCTGTTCATCATGCATGCTATGATTGTAATGGCTGATAGTAATACATGCACTGACTCTAGCAATATCCTGTACAGCATTCATTACTGATGAAGAACTGCAGAATGAAGAGGCAGTGTGAAGCTGTGGCCGGACATTGGCACTTGGCTCTTGAAATTTGTTGAAGCTGGAGACACGGATAGGGGCCCAGCATTGCAGCAAGACTAACGTATGGTGCGGGTGTCACTTCATCAAGTGAACTGGCACCGTTGCCTTCTCACCAAACCATCCACTTGGCAAGTCTCTCGTACATCTGATGAAGAGAAGAACTAGCAACACAGACGTGAAGTAGGTAGATCTGGTAGCTGACTGCTACAAAATGCGTCTGCCGTCGTGGCGATTTGTCACGGTCCAAGTCAATGATTTTAGTACATTTGTAATGATTTTGTCGCACAAGGATTTAGCCCTCTGTGCAGCACTGCCACTTGCCAGCAGTGTTGGGGGGAGAATCATCCTGGGCAGCTCACGTTCTGCAGTGCTGATGAGTGATCATGGTGATGGTGCTGTCCCAGACTCCCAGTGCCAGGGGGCCTGGCAGTGCAGAATGTGACAAGTCAACTTTACTTGACATGATCAGCCTCATGTATGTACCACTCCAGATGTAGTCTGTACATCAGCCTCATGTATGTACCACTCCAGATGTAGTCTCTCTGCAAGGCAGCGGCAGGTGCAAACCAACGTCAGTGCATGCAGTTGACTGTTGTCTGCCAAGTGCCATGCATGGTTTACAAACTTTACATGCACAACTGACAGGGACAGAGCGCCTCGCGCACGGAGATTTCTTGTACTAGGGCAGTGGCCAACCCAAGTAACCGATGGTGATTCCCCGGGATCCGGGAGTCACCGAGTGCGCCGTGGCACTGTTTCTACTTCTAGAAGCCGGTGTGGCTTGCTTGACGGATCGGTGTGGATGACTGCCTGTTAGCAATGTATGGTGCTGATCTGATAATACTAGTACGCAAAGCAGGAACTAACGTTATGATAGGAGAGGCAGAGCCAGAGTAGATATTTCCAATGGTGTCTGTGCGGATGCGATTGGATTCATTTCCTTTTCCTTTTTTTCCTGTTTTATAGAAACAAATGGAATCACGACCCATGCGTTTAACACAGTTTTGAAGGCTTTGATTGTTGGAGACGAGTTCACCGTATTCAATACAAGTTTGGTTTGGCAATTGCAGAGAACATCAAGCGATCACCAGGCGTGGCTCAGGGTAGTCGGTAACAGTTAGTGTGGCTGGCAACTAACTTGGCAGTGGCAAGTCATACAATACTAGTAATGGGTAGCAGTAGCAGTGTGAGCCGCAGCAGCAAGACCAGCAGCCACCTTTCCAAAGCCTGTGTCGGACAAGGCTACCAGACCAGAGTCTACTTTCACGCGCACGCCGACTCCAACGCCGAGCCGTATGAGGTCGACGACAGTGAGTTGCGCGAGCATCTCTCGCCACTCATTGGCGATGAGATTATTACCTGGATAGCCGTCTACAAGAAACCCTTGGCAGAATGGCAGCTGTCAGATTCGATATTCTATCACGCATTCATTGTGTTTCAAACAGGCGAAGGTTTGTGGTGGTCCATTGAAAAGAACGATGAAGGCGTCACACTTCAACGGAGCGAGAGAAAGGCCTACGTTGTGGAAATGTACCGGAGGGAGCCGCGTGCGCGGCCCGTCAAGATGATCACGTCGGACGAGGCTTGGTGTCCGCTCGAGAAGTTCGCAGACCTCCTGTACACTACGGACGCCGTGGGAAGTTCCTACAACCTGATTCTCAGTAACTGCAAGGATTTCGCTAGGAAGGTCTTCAATCGAGTTGCCCGCACGGAGACTTGGTGAGTCACCCCTCTGAATCAGGGACGTACATGGACTGAACAAGGGAGTCATACTTGAAGTGGGTTTATGCAACTCACTAAAAGACAACCAAGCAGCTGTTAGAAAGCCAACCTCCTAGTCTCTAACGTTATAAATGAAGATGAGGGAATTGGTATTAATCTATGTTCTATCTACATTATCTAAAATAATACAATTATAGAAACAAGTTAAGAGTAACTCTCCACCACCGTAACTAGATACTATAATACAGTCAGAAAGTCATACTTTCTACTTTTATTATTGGCTCAATACCCGAGTTTCAAATTACAATTATTTTGTTCTTTCTCGAAGGTAGCTATGCTATTATAGAAAATCTAAGTTAGAGAAATAACACTAAGAACAACAGCAGTGAAATTTACAAGTGTGAATTTCAACAATGAAAGCAAGAGCAATAATCTTGTTTGTTCCGTTTTTCATTTGCAAGTTTATTGTTAGCACACGCATTCGTTATTGCTCTCGCTTTCATTGTAGCTATGCTAGTTTTTTTTAGTGCTCTGAGTCTGAGATGGTTGGTACTGCTCGCCACTGGAGTCGCCAGAAGCACAATGTATGTTGACTTGGGGCCCCAACGGCGTGCCATCGCCCTTGCTTGCCTGTAGGCCATTTTGGGTAACGGTTTCTTGTCAAGCTTTTGTGTTCAATCTTACATTATGATTTCAATTGAGTGTTCGATATTTATTGCCAAAATATTAATTGGGTTGTCTTTTTGCTTTTGGTTCTTACTGCATGGTTTCACCCAATTGGCTTTGTGAATAAACCCGTTCTCAGAACAAGGAAAGTGAAGTTGCCTGTTTCGGAGGAAGGCAATGGCTCCGGTCACCCGAACTAATTACTTTACAATCCTGCTAGAGGCGAGAGGAAATCCTGTACTGGATCATGCCCTGAACAAAGTTAGTTGGAGTAGTAATGGCTTTTTAGAGCACTGCGCTCACGAGTGCCTGGGCCTGGTATGGCCATGTAATCAGTAACGGCAAGGAGAGAAGACTGAAGTCTGTAACGACGGGTAGACAAGGCCATAGATGCGCTTTCCGTGGACACCGTCATGATTAGCACCAGTCATGTCATTTTTCATGTAGATGGCATGCAACCATGATGATACATGGGGAATTCCCAATAAGTGTCCCGAGCCGAAAGTAAACTTCAACACCAGTTTTTTCGAGGCACTTGCAGTGCACTAGTGCGAGCTAATCCATGACGGCATGAGTCATGACCATGATGACTTGACGGGGAAACCACGACGCGACGCTAGAGCAGGGTGCAGAATACAATGACTCAGTCCATCAAGCCAAGGGCACGACGGCTATCTTTCCAGCAGTTCGCAGGTTTCGACAGACGGGCCCGGAGTGGCAGTGCAGTGACTACGATCATGTACTTCCAGTGGCCATGGCCTAGGCTGTGGCCAGTAGCAGTTTTCATGAAAAACAACTCGAAGAACACGAGCAAACAACGGCGGGCTCGGGCAGATCTCGAGTTCACTCCGCCAAAAGTCTCCAGGATCTTTGGGAGGTGGTAGGGAGCCGGAACGATAACAACGAGCGAATGTGATCTGCACTATTGTTTTGTCTATTTATGCCAGCCCCGTTTAGCGTGACACATTTCAAGTCGGTCAAGCAGAGTGTTTGTCGAAATAGAAATAAGCTTCTTTCACGATTCAGCCTAGCAGCTGCCTGAGCTGTATCTCTTGAAACAAAAGTCTCGCCTGTACATGTATACACTCGGTATTCTATAGCTTTGTTAGCAAAATTCAATAGCAGCGGTGATCAGTGACAATGGGTAGCAGCTCCGGCAGCCTCGTCAAAAGCCCTTCAGATTCTTCCAAGCGCCTGTCAGGTCAGCGCTACAGCACGAGTGTGTACTTCCACGCACACGCCGACTCGAACGCCGAACACTACGAGGTGGAGGAAAAGGACTTGCCGAAATACCTCACTCCGCTCATCGGCCAGGACGAAGTCATAACCTGGGTGGCTGTTTACAAGAAACCACTCGGCAGCTGGCAGATGACGGACGCGCTCCTCTACCATGCCTTCGTCATCTTCCAAACGCAGGGTTGGTGGTGGTCTATAGAAAAGAACGACCAAGGTGTTACGCTGCAACGCAGCGAGACCAAGACTTTCGTCCTGGATCGATACCGGAGAAGTCCGCGACAATCGCCTGTAGAATTGATCAAGTCAGATGAAGCCTGGTGTCCGCTGAAGGAGTTCGCGGATCTGCTGTACGGCACGCACGCTGTTGGAAGTGCGTATAACGTGATGACGAGCAACTGCAAGCACTTTGCCAAGACCGTGTTTGATAGGTTGGCACGAACCGAGGTGTGGTGAGGCCACAGAGCGAAGGCAGCCGCAGAGAGAAGTGATGCTTTCCTAGGAATAGGGCGGAAGAGAGTTGGAATAACATGCAAAAGCTGTTAGGCATTGGCAACTTGAATAATAATTATTATGATTATATGGACGGCCCCTGCCAGACTGGCCCAGTTGGCATTGCCGATGTCAACAACACAGATCATCATCTGGAGACTACAAGAACGTTATACAATCATACCACTTCACACTTGTGCGTATTGAATGATCCAATACCCAAACTACTAGTATGTATAGTAGTGCAGACTGTTTATCTACTCTTGCTACAGTCGACCTACCCTTATAACGATATTTGTGTCACACCAAGAAAATTGTTATAAGGGTAATACAATATAGGGGTAACTGCTAGTCTGCTACTAGTACTAACTGGTTTATTTCATACACATACG